AAGGAACGCCTTCCGAGGCAGGGTGAAGAAATGGCGGAAAGAACGTTTTCCAATCAAAGCAACAGGAAACTGAGGTACCGGGCCATCGACCGAGTCGATAAAGAACCATGGGATTCGGGAAGGGACCTTAGAAGTAGTAAGAGAAAAGTAGTTGCGACGGCTAAAGACAACATGATCTTCATACGAAAGACCAGTTTGTCATTTTTCGGCGCCGTCCCCTTTCTCCTCATCTTTTCCGAGTGAGTACAAGCGGTGCTTTTGCGGACTTTTCACGCAGCGGTTCAAAGATTTAGAGACCAATTATTGACTCGAAACCGGGTTTGGACGAGGTGATAAGAATGGCGATCACGATTTCGACATCTTACTTTTTCCGCTTTGTCCTTTACCCCTATTCCCTTTGAAATTTTCGCGGCCCATTGTCACAGATGTAGGACAAAGTCGAAGTGATGAAGGAGAGGAGAGATTTCAAAGGCGAATTTCCTTGTTGTCTGTTTATCTAACAGTATGGATAGTACTAGTCAGCTAAGTGCAACGAAATAAAGCAAAAAAGATGCTACAACACTCTTATGTATTTTTGTCTTTCCTGATGGGCATGACAGTAACAAAGCGGGGTTCTACCAAAATGCCCCATTCCCCTTAGGCTTAGCTGAGTAACCGCACGTAATATTCATGGACTTTTTACGTATATTTTCGTTGATTTTTCGTTCCGTTTCTGTCCGTAATGTTAGCCCTTTTTTCTCTTCGAGTTGAGCAATTCTCCCAAAACTACAACACTGATCAAGTACGACGCTTAAGTGCAATTTGAAAGCCTCTTTCCGCTATAAAGTTGTGGAATTCTGGGGAAGTATATATACCTGACCATCAGCACCCAAATGGAATATGTTCAGTATGTTTATATGCGAAACAGGTCCGTTATAATATCTACCAGCGTTTCCTAGGAGAATCCCGATTATAGTACCAACTAGGCGGGTTCAGTGACGAATCCAGATTAATAGCAAACATACCCACAGACTTATAAATGGTAAAAACATTGAGCAAGCCATAAAGCTGGTATCACGTCCACCTGGAAGACAAAACGGAAACTAGACGTGAAGGACACTCGAGTAATCTGCAGTTTCCCTTTGCGCATCCGCACTATTGTAATCTTTTCTGGGCACCAAACAAATCAGTTAAAGGTGATCAAAAACCTTTGCATAGAGGAACTTGATCTCTAGTCTCTCGAGATAAAAGTCAACTTCTTCACTTTCGAAGTAAAGTTGCAAACCAAATTAATCACTCTATTGCAGATCGATTTTCGAGCAGATTAGATGAGAAACGCTTGTTAAAAATACAGAAACTTATCTACAAACTAGAGAAAATTCATTTTGATAAGTTGGCATCTAGGGCTTCGAACAGCTACCTCAAAAATCCGATTTTTTATATCTGCTACTGCACTGCTTAAACGGACGCATATAGAGCTCGGAAATATTGATATAGCCAGCGTACTATGAGCGTATAATACCACAAAATGAAGTCTTCCTACAGATGCAGTGCGGCGCCTACTGACCTATATTGCCGCTGAAGCTGCCGATAGCTTACCACTAGCTCTTTTCAATATAATACCTCGGTAATTTATATTATACCAACTTAGAACAGAGGGCGCTTTTTACCCACGAATATATTAGGACTTGATCCCTGCAGCAAATTGTAAACCACACAAAACACTATAGGATGGATGACGAGGACGTTTTTACGGATTCTTATAGTAATACATGGTAAATGAAGAGGTAAAAGAACAAAACTCGCTCAAGCATTAGAAAAAATCCAATCCAGTTATTCATCTCTACGGCATCACTGTTACCTTCCGATACAAAAAAAAGCTCTTGCGGCTGGCTATTGGAATAAGCATGAGTGGCACGTAACCATTGACACGTGGCCTGATCCTGCTCCTGAAAGCTATCACACCTACTTGATTCACAAACGATAGTCGGGCGAGACGAGCAGATCGATAAAAACAGCACATTACAAAAGGATTTCTGGAAAACTGCCACGATTAGATGATGAAGGATTACGTACTTACGCTCAAGGCTAATCTTCGCGCTGCACATGACAAATAATATAGAAAATAAGCACATATAATTAACCTAAATAATACTTTCGTAATAAACGAGGGTTGCCAACGTAGATAGATCTGCTATTTGCATGATTCGCTTCCGTTCTGCTCCATTCAGTTACTTACTACAATAGCACGATGTCTTCCCATCTTTGAGAAACTAATTAAGCTCTATAAACTCGCCTCTAACCAATTGATTAATTAAGAACCAGCAAAACTGACATGTGTATTACTAAAAAGGAAAACTCGTTACTTGGTAACTTAATTGAAGATCGTAATCATCAACAACTACTACAGTTTCAATTTCTTCTTTTCTCTACACGATTCCCTTCAGTAGAGTGTTGTGGGGCTCAACATTACTTCATAGGCGGCTTGGCTTGTGCACCCGCAAAATGGCTTCGGAGCAGAAGCTCTTCAAGCCTCGTCAGGCCTTTATCGACTTCGTCACTTCAGTGTCAGTAATAATGTAGCATCAGCTGGACAAACACATGTTCTTTTTTACTTTGTTGGAACGAGAGGCCGATGCAATATAGTGAACCCGGAGAGAACTGGCGCTATTTTTAAGGTTCAACGTGACTACGTTACACCAGCCGATGGGGTGGCTAGAGAGAATCTGAAATTGATATCTCATAATGACATAAATTAGTGTGATCACAACCAGTATGAATGCCCTCCTTTACTCTAGTGCATTACGCTTTTCGTGAAATATATCTCCGTACGATAATAAACGTTCTGTGACATAGTGTATCGTGCAATCGAAATAATAGCTGGAGAGATCTGATCGCCAGATCACTTGCTGTTTCAGGACGATACAACCATAATATTACCTAAAAAACAGAATTCAACAATATAGGATATAAGATAAAATCCTATATTAATAAGGTTTCGATCACTGATCCTTTTAATTTGTTATTTCTCATACATAAAAGGTAAAACTTGTCTCGTGCCAATTTAAAAAAGGTCACTTGATAGTTTGAGACCTATTTTTGATCATTTAATTTTTATACTGTCAAGTAAATTCTTCCTGATCACAATAGTGTTCCTCACTTTCTACGACTTTTGCCCATTTTGCTGGCATCTCATGTACCCCACGAAATAGAAAGGTTCTATCTTCGAGAGCGACCCAGTCGTCGACCCATTTGAGACTTGGACTTCTGTTGTGAAGTGTTTGCATTACTAGCTATACTGCATTGACCTAAACAAATGATAATTAGATGAAGCGATGTGCGACTTGCACACCAAGCGGGGCAGAGTTTGTCATAAAACGTCTGTTAACGCTCGCTGGGTCGGCGACGTAAAACACGGTGTAGCGTTGTCACGCAGCATTATCATTTTGAGCCGCCCATTTCGATGTCACTTCCACTGAATTCACTTTCGCTCTAAGTTCGTAAGCGTACAAATGATTGACAAGAGTCATCTGGGTTGCTCCGAACTGTGCCGAAAGCTCTTGGCTTAGCGGTACCGTTATTTACTTACGGGGTGGCTTCCTATGGTCGTCCACAGGTTGTTCGTAATTCAAGTTAAAGCGCCTGCCCCTGAGGCGATTAAGCACACGGAATCACTATTTATAATGACAACAGCTAGATGAAGGAGTGGCTTTTCACCAAACCGTTCGTGGCCCATATTGCGCGTATCCAAAACGAACTTTTCGAAACATTTGCGCAATATCAGTCTTCCATCGCGGATCCCTGATACGGTGCGACATCGACATACTGTTCAACTTAGTCCGTCGCTCCGCTGAGATATTCGAAGTTCATGTTAAAAGACTATGTATAGAGGCGTCATTCCTAAACAATGACTAGCCTTCACTCAGGCTAATTGCATATATGGTAATGGCGAAAGACGAACAGCCAGTGAGTATCTGTAAAATTAAAGAGGTTTGTTAAATGGCCTATTTTTCGTTGTGACCCAGCGGACAACCGCAAAACTCACTCGCTTCCTGCATTTAGCAGGAAATCTTAGCAAACCATACGTCCAACTAGATCTGCATACACCACTAAGTTACGTCCAGTCTTTATGCGTTTGCTATTGCTTTATGACAGCAGGTCGGTCAGGCTTTATATCCGCCAACTCGGAAACTGGCACCCCGAGTCTCCTCGGACGGGTCCACACCTTTAGGTGGCCTTGTTCGGCGAGAAAAAGATCAGGACTAACTTCCATTAAAGACTGTCGCACACAGCGGACATGCATCTTAGTTAGCTTAATTTTAGAAAAACCCGCTCCATGAAACTGATATAGTAGGACAATGTTAAAATATATGTTTCGCGAAAGAGAAAAAAAAACAGAAAAAGTATTAGCTCTGCGATTCAGGTTTACTTGAAATCTTATTTGCAGTTCGGGCTTACTGTAATGTTTTCAAATTATATATGTATGTGGTTATATCAATAGTGTCAACGGGCAGACACTGGAAAAAAAACTAACCCCGATCAGATGCCGAGAGGGTCTCGGCCCAAGCTGGTTTCCAGGCTGGGGTACACATGACAAGCTGATGGGTTAAGACGGCACTTAAGATTTTCTTGCTTGTTGATAGAGAAGTAAAATTGCGGATTGATCATTGACAAATTATGATGCTTACATATCTCTAGATACACAGTTTGACACTGTGGTATATAGAAGCCTTTTATACTGCTAGATAACTTGTTTCAAACTATAACGTTCGATGTATTTGACGGTATTAGAACGAGTTTTGTTAACAACGAATTTGAATAGGGAATCCTGACTGCAGCGACAGATTAGATGCATATTGTTGGCTCACTGCGACTCCTATACTTCGTTTCTTGTTCTAATTGTTCTCTTTACGATCACTGCGTGCACTATTTACGTGTGTCACAATCTAATATTGTTTTGCATAAACTCACATAGGACAAATCTGTCTTCCGTCCTATTATAACCTTAGCTAATTGCTTACCAGTATATATATACATGTTGTCCATATTGTTGTAGATATCCACTTGGCGTATAAGTGTTTATTGGTGCTGCTTTCCACAGCACCCCATATGTATGGGCACACTACATCTATGGAAGTAATAATGTTAGCAAGCGGTATCAGTTGGCATTGCGCGAAAAAAGCATGACTTCTCCACTCATCTAAGCGACACCACGGCAAAATGACGAACGGTATGGGGTTGGTTGGCTACAACAATCACGTATTAGCATATCCCAATTCCGGGTTCACTTTATTGCCCAACTTCACGAAAACACCGAACAAAAATGACAGCGATGTGTGAATGCTATGGGAACTGGACGAAGGGCTATTTAAAATATAGGAGACGGTGGTATCCAGCGGTACAGACTTGTCTGATAATTCATTTCGGCTGTGCGATATTATCCTAGTTATCACGTCTAACCTAATTGTTTACCAATATGTTGTATAGACGCCTATCCACAATCTTACACAGCCCAGTGGCACGAGCACAGTTGGCCAAAGCCATGTTCAGCCGTTGTAAACGACGGCGAAGAAAGCAATTCTATAGGATGTTGATCTAAAGTCGAACGAACGACAAACAAGTTCACGCGGGCTCTCGATAGCTGTTGTTACAGCTGAAGTTTGTCCTCTATGGCATCAGTGAGGTAACGCATAGCAGATCGTGTCGTAATGACAACATGATGGAAATGTGCCACCGCATATAGGTAAAAGCCGCATCAATCGCTCGCAGCGCCAGCTTTTTTTTGCTGGGTTAGACCTCGCCCTTTTTCTCTCTTTCTATATCTACATATCGCTCTGTCCAGAGATCTCGCACCGAACCCGCGGATGCTGGCGATTTACGATGTCGAGCATAAAAAGCGCCCCCTCTGTATGTCACATGCAGATATCGATTGGAGAATACACGCAAAAGCTTCTGGGAACCCCCCTAAAATGTGGCGACCGAAACAGATAAGTCGCCAAAACTATCTCACAGGAGAGTGGCCCTTTATTGTGTGTTTGACATGATGTTTGACGCAGCTCAATCTAGGATTGTTACTTTTCCTTGGGGGATAATACCCCCTGAGGTCTGCTGTAGCTGTCGAGCGACAAACGGAACAGCGACTCTGAACGATGACCTTCTCCTGTTTCACAACGCGTGTCACGTTTCTTCAAATCCGTGCAGGATGATTCCATCTATATGACATGGATACACAAATACACTCACACAGACGCACACATCTATTGTTCGCCCCAGGCCGGCCGTCCAACAATGGCCAGTTACACTAATGCAGGCCACGGGATCACATACGATCAGTTACACACTACAGGGAAGAGGCAGCAGCGACACGTCTCCGATTTCTTTCCTCTGCCGTTTTGTCGTTGAGGAGCATTCGGTCGTTTTTTCTTCGCTTGCTTTCCGTTGTCGAAACCCCTTTTGTCTCCTCTTTTGCCACAGAAAAATAAGAGCGAACAGCGCCATTAACCTCATCGTACTCGTTTTTCTTTCGCGAGAAATTTTATTCTACAATAACATCACCCAGAATCTGGCGCAAACGGAAAAAGAAAGAACGAAAATCGCAGACAGATATATTTATATATTATACAATATGTCCCTATATATCACGCGGCGTGCACTGTAGTTCCGTGATTATCAGTAGAATCCATTATCAATGGGCGACAAATTGGCTGTTCAGAATTCTGTTCACACGACGATATGTACACTGCTAGTACGCACACAGCTGTGAAATAGATCGTTTGAGAACAGCTAAAAAATATCGCTACGCTGTCTTGAAGTGTTTAATAATACGTCAACCACCAGCTTCACTACTTTTACGTTGCCAACGTGCCACCGTTGCCGCACTACTTAGCTAGCAAGTGGCCAGCAGGACATCGATCTATTTTCTGCTTATCAATATATCAGCAATAGAACAATAGCTAGGCAATACGGGGGGTAATGGCCTATTGCTGCTGCGACTCTAGGGCGCCTCGATGTCAAATAACCAAACGATTTTTCACGCACAGCAGATAATTGCAGACGCCGATTGGAAACCGAAGCGCACGCAACATACGACTTCACTATATGAGCACGCTCCGGTCCAGCTGCTCCACGTTGACTAAGGTACGTTATTCATGGTAAGGCGCGCGTTGAGGAGAAGTTCAGGGGGCGCTACGGTCGCGGAGTAGGAAAGGGAGTTACGAAAAAATGGAAAGGGCAGATAGGCAGCTTAGCTCCTACTCGACCCCACAAACCCGTCGAATAGTACCGTATGGCGTAGAGTAGCAGGAAGATTGAGTGCAGGTGGCCGGTTGGATTAGATCAGGCAAACCTAACCGATGGATGCGGAAGAGGATTGCAGCTTCCGAGTGCGCGTCCTTCACAAGGTCATCGTGCGATTCGACGGCGCGAACTCGGGAAGATAGGGGAACAAAGGTCGTGTGTGGATAGAATCGGGAAACGAAGGCACGTGAGTGAAGAGCAACAGATACTAACGCGTTGAAGAATGCTGGGAGCCCGCCAAGATATTACTGGAACGGTGCATCGTTCGAGAACGAATGAGGAGCCTGAAGAACAAATTGAGGCGCACTGACAAACGGAAGCACCTTGGCATCAAATAGCGTCGAGAATGGCTAGACAACGTAGATATTATGTGTCTAATAGGATGCTTCCAAAGCAGAGGCTATTTCTATTTCAAAATTCAATTCAATTCTTTGTATCCAAAATGTAGGACATCGTTTTTTGCTTTTTGCTATTTCATATACTTCTACGCGAACGAATGGACAGAATCAAACTGAATTCACTGTACATGTGCTTTGAGCGCAATATGCGCTTAGGAGTTGGTATAGAATGAGGAAGCCTCTAACGCTCCTTGCGTTAAAACTAAAGAGAAGGAACAGAAGAAGTTTCTGTTCCTTGTGTCTTACTTGTTTCCGTGATGGCTTAGTGGGTTACGAATTTGCCTGTTTATTTTAGGTACAAGTTGTACTGGCAGCCAGCCAGCCGCCTGATGGAACGCGTCGAGGCGATACAGAACATAAGACACGAAACGTGGAACGACACGTCATACTTAGGCCGTGCGAGTGATCCGAAGAACAGCTGTTGTAGTAATAATCATCAGACTAATAATGTTATTTACGATATCATAAATACTATTATTTTCACTGAGAAAAACCATTGCGAGGACTCATTACCCCCCACAAAGGCCAAACTAGTTTCATTTAATCTACAAATAAAAGCGATACATTTGAAAGCTTTACGGAGCATCTTGGCAGGGATTCATGGATAGACTGTAGTGGCCTATGAACTAACGCAAGCTACTGAAAAAGCGAGTTAATTAGCAAATTGGGAAGAGTTCAATAATAGCTTCAGACAGGTTTACGTGATCCGCCTGTCTATATGTATAGAGTACGTTTCGGTTCTTCTCCTTAGGGACTGCGATATTTCCGAATCGAGCACAACTCGATGAGATTTGCTCTGAAACGAATTCAGTATCTTCGTAGCCAACGTATCTCCAACGCCATTGACCTGCCATAGGAAGACATAACCTGTTTTGATTTCGCCGTACCTCCGAAAGGTTGAGGACTCTATGAGCATGCCCTTACAAACGTTGCTTACGAAACGAATTTCTTGGCATAATAAATCTACGAATCACGGACTCAGGTACCGAACACACGTACAATGTTCTAAGGTCAATTTAGAATTCTTCTAGTATTCCTCATAAGTGCGCGAATCTACTTTCATTCGATGTGGCAATATAAAATAGTGTACGTAAATGCGGGTAAAACCATTAAAGGCAGAACAATGCGAACGGAAGCCATCTCCTATACGTTTCCCTTGATAATCAGCGCATGGGTAAGCTGCGACCCATTAAATTAAGCTGTCATTTGTGTTTTGTCAAGCACATCAATACACCACCCCAGACGATCCAAACCAATCTATAAAACTCTGGTCAAGATCAATCAAGATGTATGCCGGTGCCTATCAGTGATTGTCAAAAAAAACCTAGCTTGCTGTCCTTAAAATCTATGCCGGCCTGCTCCCCCGTTGTACTGCTTTATTTGTCCTGTAGTTTTTCATAATCATCACTCAATTCTGGATGCGTTAGAAATCATACAGTATCACCAGACCTCATTCAAGTTATGGGGCAATAAATATTACATGCGAATAGCTCACCAAGTTATAAGCTCATCGTAATCTTTATGGACTATATGTAATCATAGATCTGTTTCGAACAGACCGGTTGTCTATTAAGGTAAGTATAAGTTGATCTGCAATTTTTGCGCTACAAGAAAAATAGTTCGTTCTAGCACAAAAGCACGAACTTATCATAGCATATTTTCAGAAACATAAGCGAAGATCAACGGTTGCCATGTGTATTCCCGTTACACATATACTCCATTGGATCAAAAAGACGTAAGATCGACAGTCTATGACGTTGTCCGCCGTTACATCGGTTACAAGGTATTTAAAAAAAAAAATTGGAAATTTCTAAAAAAATAAAAAGATGTATCTAAAGAAAAGAAGGCCACACTTGATAATTTCGGAACTCATGTGAGAATTGTACATGTTTGAGATGACATTGTGCATCGTCTGTAAGGTATTCCATATATCAATAATACGTAACTAATCGAGTATAACTTTAGTTTCCCTATTTTTACGAACTTTTCAGATTTCGGCCTATTATTAGCCTAACATTTAAGTTCGCCGACCTTTTTCGCCGGACCGTATGAGCGAGATTCTAAAGAACGTCCACATGGTTTCATTCATAGTTCCTATTTCATGGATAAGCTATTTGCGAATTTAACGATTTTAAGTAACCTGTCAGCGGTTTGGCTCCCAACCGAAGCCTAGGTCACAGCAAATGGCAGATGGATTAAAGGAACACGTTCATATAAGGTGTGCCTGACGTGCCGCACACAAAGACCATTCACCTGAAGATCCACTTTCACTTCGAAGCAGCTTACAAACGAAGAGTATTTATGCTATCCAAAATACCTTCTCGCGCCGGTTGCATCCTCCTTTCACTTATCTGTGTCATTCTTACATTCTACCAGAAACGCCGACAAGACAATTGCTAGACCCGACTATTACCTTATTCACTGCTTCTTAGCCGCTTGCTCGTTTTTGGCCTGCCGTAGGTCCACTGCGGGCTGGGCAAGCCAGCAGCTTTAACGCAAATTGGCCTGCGTCAATTACAACTATACTAGTGCTACTTCTGTTCTAGGCTCGGTAGTGGTTATCGTAGCTCCAGTTGTAGGAGCAAATGTGCCTGTTTACGCCTTTATTGGGGCCTTTTAATGCTTTGACGAGCGGGTCCCATTCTTTTATAAACATATCAAGCTTTTGCTTCCCTTTATTCACGCTCGGCTCGAATCTAGAGTGGGTTCGAGACAACTGAGCGGTTAGAGCGGGATAAATGTCTTCTTTTGCCCCACAATCATTGCAGGTAGTACCGTTCACAAAACCACGCTGGGTCCAATGACAATCTGCTCAATTACCCTTCGCACCGCACATGAAGTAATCAAGTTCATTTTCATAATATTTTGACATTGTTACATGCGGCGTATATGTTAACCGTACGCTATATGCAGGAATACGTTGACTGCGTGTCTGAAAGTATCTTTGAGCACCGTTAATTCCGTATTCATGGCACCCTTCGCAGTTGTCAATTGCGCTTGCCCCGTCATCGCAAGCAGTATTTATCATAGAATTTCCTACATGGTGACTCGGGCAGGGCCAAGGTCAGAGCTTTCCGCTCGTCCACAGGGTTTATGGGGCTAGACTAGAAAAAAGTTAAGAGTCAAATATCAGATGTATGGGTGGATACATTTGCTGTACATGCGTTTGTCTTCGTGGTGTGCCATACGCGCGCTTAAAAAGCAGCAAAATCGCCTGACCGCAAATGCTATTCAGAGCTTCTTACTACGGAGAACTGCATGAGCTGTGTTGCTGTTACGCGTGAAGGGGCGGACAAGCTGCAGGGCAATCCGACGTTCGTTCCCCCAACTCCAGCTTGCCTTCTCTATTATGTCCCTGCGGACAGTTGAGTGGGTATATGTGTCAGAGTCGCACGATCCCATACATACACGGATATACTTGTGGAAACGCTGCCAGACACACCACTAACGCTGAGCATTTGGTAAACACTGGCTACCAAAGCAACTGGAAAGTAAGTGAGAGCAAAGCGTCGGTACGGTGCGGCACCGTTAACAGTAGTGGGGTCTTCCTTCCAGAGTCACTAGAATGTGACCGAGGCCCAATTTGGCGGATGACTGCGGGTAGCCGAAATGGCTACCCCGGGCAGCCATCCTCTAGGGAGATAAAGAAGCCTCTTAAAGCATACTTACTTCCCTCGAACAAAAGCGGAAAGGCGTGCATCCGCCGACGCGCGGGGAATTACTGCGGGTAGTAGTGCACGATACAACGAGGCGGAGGCTGTTTGGACAACAAGATGAAATGAGGGTTCAATTGCTAGAGCAAGCAAAAGAAGGGGATACTCTTTGCTCTTGAAGGTTACACAGCCAAATACGGCTAAGGGTGATGAAAATTTTCGTGCGAGGAAGAACAAGCGAAAAAGCGCACTTCAGAAGGGGACAAAGAAGTAGATTGGATCAATGAATGGATACGGCACGGACAGAACCTCACTCGGCACCCGCCTGGAGTGATCCAGGCATGACAGTGAACAGAAATAAAAAGTAGAAAATGAGAGAGAGCAAAGGGAAGAACAAAAAGGGAGAGGGTGCTTGTAGTGAGCGAACGCGCGTAGGACAGCAGGAAGGAATTAGGGGGCTCGATTACAGATGCAGGCTAGCCGGCACTGCAGAAAACATGATGAACAGGTCTGCTGAATAATTGGACTGTGGTAGTGGCGATAATCGGGTGCTGTGTAGGTCTATGAATAGTAGGAAATTTGTACCATACTTCAACAGGCCCTAGATGTGCCCGCCGCAACAGCAGCCGATTGACGAGACCGACGCTATAAAGAAATAAATGCTAAACGACAGTGAGTTCCATAAAACCGGCCAAGCCTCTATATTGTCATAAGCAGCGTGCACCAATGTATGT